AAGCTCAATGGGACCCACCGCCAGTTCCTTACACGGTGCATCGGCTGGAGCAAGCGTAAACGCTCAGACCGCCCCCTGTCCCATGCCCAGGCCCTCATTCAGGCAGCCTGCGAGGAAACCATCGAGGCTGTTGGAAGTGTTTGTAGTACAATAACGGCTCTATTCTACTGCATTGGGTTTGATGCGGTATTGTGAAGGCGTTGCCAAGTCTGTAACCGTCACGTGAAGACAGCTTGGGCGTCTGTGTGAAGATAATAAATCACTCTGTGTTCTCTACCCGAACCTCAGCCACACACGCCACCCACAGCGTACCACAGCCGCTGCACTGCTGGTGCAGTTGTAGGCGTACTGCTGTTAGGGTATGAGCCACGCGCGGTAGAGAAACATAATCGAGTCAGAACGTGGCATTCGCCTCTCAAGCCGCAAACACATCCCCCCAGGGTTGCCATCCCTGTAATCAGCGTAGACCACTAGACTAGTGGTCATTGTCCTTCTCAACAAAAGCTGATGTCCGGGGTTCGAATCTCCCCAACGGCGTAAAATTCTTTGCGCCCGACATATAAAAAGTCTAAGGAATCTGGCTTCGCAAAAAATGAGCCGATGACCTGCTTGTTGTATCGATCTGGCAAGCACAGCGCTGATTACAGGGATGGCAACCCTGGGGGGATGTGTTCGTGGCTTAACAGCTTGATTGACCGGACACGGGCATTAACTTTTGTTGATAAGCACGATGATCACTACCACGGTAGACTACTAGTCACGCTGACGAGTAGTCTACCTAGTGGTCATCGTGCTGATCAACAGAGGCCACCGTGCGCAAACGGAGACTGTGTTTCGCGGGCTTTGTTATGCGCATGGAGGACAACCGGCTCCCCAAGCGCATACTGTTAGGAGCGATGGTGGGGAGCGTGGGATACCGGGGCGGGCGGGAGAGCGACTGGGTGTCTCGTCTAGGAGAGGACCTCGTGGCCTTCAACATGGGAGACGAAAAGGAAGGTGGTAAATGGAAAGAAAGCGCCAAGGACCCGGAGGTGTGGTACAACAAGGTCGAGAACGGGGCGGCATGGCTCATGGGGAATGGCACAGGCAGGAGGCGGAAGCGTCCACGAAGCGCCAGCGCGCGAGGGAGGCAGAAGCAGAGAGTACGGCCATCTCAGGACCGAAGAGAAAGAGAGCCGGGGAAGCGGCGGTGGGGGGGAAGAAACGGCGACCGGGCGCTGCTGTAGAAGCGAGTAGGGCGGCCGAGGCATCACTTGTGGCGAACCATTGTTTGTTTATTTTTTTTTTCTCCCACCATTGGACTCTGTCGTCTGCCCCTATGGCCCCTATCCTCCACTTCTACCAGCTAGACGACCCAACCGGGGTCACATAGGAGGGGGGGGGTTGGACCCCCTCCTGCGGTTCATGCCTGAGGTATTTTTATCGCGAGAAGGGTGCAGCGATTCCTTCCCTCGCGACTTGTGAAGTCGATCAAGTTATCTTACAACGAGATTTGCAGCGCGTCGCTTCCAACGGAGAACAGGATTTAATTAGCGAGAAAANTCACTTGTGGCGAACCATTGTTTGTTTATTTTTTTTTTCTCCCACCATTGGACTCTGTCGTCTGCCCCTATGGCCCCTATCCTCCACTTCTACCAGCTAGACGACCCAACCGGGGTCACATAGGAGGGGGGGGGTTGGACCCCCTCCTGCGGTTCATGCCTGAGGTATTTTTATCGCGAGAAGGGTGCAGCGATTCCTTCCCTCGCGACTTGTGAAGTCGATCAAGTTATCTTACAACGAGATTTGCAGCGCGTCGCTTCCAACGGAGAACAGGATTTAATTAGCGAGAAAAAACTCACTCTGTCGGGACTCGAACCCATGACCTGGCCCTAAGCAGGCTGCGAGGTTACCCACTACTATCGGGGCGACCGGCTATGTACCCGGCTGATGTTGTTGCGCCTTGTTTCCCTCCCTACTGTATGCTATACTCCTTTATGTATGTCCTTTGTTGCCTTCGGCGTCTGTGCTGTGTTTCTTTTTTCATGTCCTCTTCAAAGGGGGTGAAGCCGTGGGCGGAAGCTTGCTCCTAGAGATAGATGAAGGTTCTGTCGTTGACACGCTTGTCCACGACCACGTTGAGATGGGAAAGTCGCTTGTTATTGCTGAGAGACGATCAGCAAGGGTCTGAGACGAAGTGGGGATCCAACTTCATCTCAGGGGGTACACAGAGTAGATCATTCTAAGGGGGTAGGAGTCAGAAGGGTATACTTCCTGACCGACCCGCTTCCTATCAACAATAGGGCGTACCCTATTCATGCTAGCAGTCACATTAACACTAGCCCACCTTTAATATCATATATGCAGATTCTATACTCAAATCAATGCTCAAATCCATAAGCTACAGTAAGATATGGCTGATGATTGATGATCATGAATCGAAGATATGACTCTTCACAAAATATCCAAAAGGAGGGTGAGTTGTAGAAATATCCCGAATCGACCCCCCCACACCATCATTGAGATGAAGAATGCGAACGGTCACGAGACGAAACATCGACATAACAATGGCATGGCTTGAAGGGATAAAGCTACGAGGAATATATTTTGCTGCAGAGCACGCTATCATCCTGAACAGTAGACGACGACAGGGAAACAAAATCAATGTCCAAACGCCACACACCACTCTTTTACGCGCAACCGCGCGGATCACCACTGGAGGAATCAAGGTGACTACCCGAAAGAATCCAAAATACGGTGATGAAACTCAAAACCCAAACAAATTTCCGAACGATTACGGCCTTTGATACTGGACGCGACGCAAAAGGAAAACTCAACGAAATCTAGGACGTTTACGAAGGGCAGGAGAAAAGAACGACAGGCAAAGGCACGGAGAACGATTGCCAGCGTGCCAGGGTACCCAACTCGTATAAGGAGACGGCAAGGGCAAGACCTAATGAGGACCAAGGATGCAAAGCACACGCGATTAATGCAAGAGAGGCGGTCGACGAACTGCGCCATGGCTCGCTGGCGATACGCATCATTGGAAGACATAAAACATAGAAAAGTCGTAGAGATTCACACAACAAGACGACGACTTAGGGGCGCGACGGTGATGAAGGCGTCGCCCGAAGGTGGCGATGATGGAGACGAGGCAGAACGAAGTGTGGGTGACGACGAAAATCCATGGGAAAAGGCGACGCCGCGGGATGGAATCCCGAAGTACCAAGCACGCGACACTTCTGCGGCACGATGAAAAATAAAATAATAATAATACAGCAGTAGTTGGCAAACAGGCGAACCAGGAAAACGCGGGGAACTCGGTGTCCAAGTGTCCCGAGGCAAACAACGCCGACGAAACTTGAGGAGGAGATCTTTTTCCAAGTGTTCAGAGGCAAACAACAACGACGAAACTTGGGGAACTCATTTTCCAAGTGTTCAGAGGCAAACAAAACCGACGAAATTTCGGAGGGAGCTTGTCGAGAGAACCAAAGACCAACAACAACAAAAATTAAGCAAAGGCGAGAGAGAACGGACATCCAGGTCGCGGCAGTTCACTGATTCAGGAAAAGGCAGGCAACAAGGAAGAAGGATCACTCGACACTTCGTGTCTTTAGGCGGCGTTGCCCCAGCGTCCAAAACAAAAAATGAGCCAACGAAAGAAAAGAGACAGGACAGAAAAAAACAAAACAAAACAAAACAAAACGGAAGGTGACAGCAAAAAAAAAATCAAAACGTCGGCGAGAAGGATGGCACAAAAGACCGACATAGGCCGATTGGTATATGAAACCGACGACGCTAAGAATAAATGGTGGGAACAGCCAACGGTAAGGAGTCAGCAAGGAGCGAAGTGCGACCACGACTGTCGCCCAGAGGGCGCGAACCGTGTTTCTCTAAACACCATGATCCACAGACGGCGTCCAAGGCGGTGTAGTAGAGGTGCGTAGGCAGAGGAAGCACACTTGGGCCCGGGTCATCCAAAACTCGAACGATGTACGAGCCGCCCTGATGAGCACCAGTACGTCCGGTCCACCACAATCCGTCACGGGCCTTGTACCACAGCCGCGCGCCAACAGGGAGGGGCTAAGTGCTGAAACGACGAAGCCAAGCCGCGTGAAGCACAAGATCAGCCCCAGGAGGCAAATAGCGTTCTCCGCGATTCCGGGCTAGCTCCCGCTGTGCCGCGCGAGTCCGAACCACTCGATATGTGCGGTTACCCTGCTTGCTTTGGCAGGCCTCCCGGGACCAGTACAAGAGGATGTGTCGACGGAATTGATCAAGGTCGGACTCCCGTTCCCATGAAGGAGTAGTCAGGCCTACCCAATGCGTCTGGTACAGGACAGCGAGAACGCCACCACGGCCCCGCACCAGTTGATGTCCCGAGAGGTAGTCGACCTCGAGGCGCCCGACAGGCACCGACACATCATCCGCGGTGACGTGGAAAGGTGGACATTTATCTCCGAAAGAGTGCAGAACATAACGCGAAAGCTCGGCGGG